CCCCTGTAAATCGTATTTTAAACTGTATAAAAATTTTTTTAATAATCGTGTAACCGGTTTCCTTATTTGGGACGGTCCCACCTGAACTCTGTGTAACTTTGATCAGTGACTGAAAAAACGCGGTTTATAATAAAGGTACAGTTACAAAATATCTTTGTATCATTCGTTCATGTTTGGAAAATTCGCGCTATCTTTCTTCTTAATGGCGGAATCAGGATCAATTCTGCCACATTCTAACGTTATTATTCCACTTTCTTTTTCACCAGAACAAGTTAAGTTACATAATAATGCTATTCATTTGCAAAAAATTGGTAGCGAACATCAGGAAATTAAACAAGCCGCTGTTAAGACTTTACATCAAAATTCTATATTAGCGATGCATGTGATTGCAAGTGGTGAGGTAAATTGACCTAAGACCTAAGATTTTTCTTTTTGGTTTTTTTTTTTTTCTTTTTTCATAATTTGCAATTGAAATAGATTATCGTAATATTTTGTAATAAAAGTCACCTGCTAGAACTAGGTTACGGAGGATACGTGATTTAACAAGTTTACCTCAACCTTCATATGAATCATCGGTATGTCATCTTATCTAATATTACCATTTAATTAAATTTTATAAATAATCTATTTCTATTTCTTTAATTACTGAATTAGAGATCAAATTTATGACTAAATTAATTAATTATGATTATATAAATAATCAAAAACGCGTAATCTAGTTCCAACGCAAAAAAAAAAAATGATAATAAATTTTTTTCGGCATTTGAATTGACACGGAATTTCGACCAGTCTATTGAATGAAAAGATTGATTCTACAGGAAACTCCATATGAATTAGTATATAGACAAACCTGAAAATAATTTTTGTTTGTCCGGATGTAAATTGTGAGATTTAATACGCGTATTATATAAAAAAAAAAAACCTTGAGGCTTTTCTCCCATTATAAATCACGTGAAAATCATTGCCTATAAATTGGGCAGATCTAAAATTTTTGTTCTCGATAAACAAATTTTCCATTCCGTTATGACTAGCTTCTATGGTAATTCAAATCCTACAAGCTCGAAAAGCTCAACTCAATTTGCTGATGTAGAAATCGAACGCATCTCGCGTTCGCTTACTC